TTTTCTTTCTCCGTGCCATCCTTCCGTGCTTAGCTTCCAGCGCTTTTGTCCGGACTAGAAAAGAGGATGCAGTTGCAGCATGCGACTAATCTTTACCACCCCGCTCGTACTGGACGGATCTGTAAAGATGTCGCGGCGGTGATTTCTTGAGGCAATAAACTTCTTCAGTGAATTTATTCCATGGCTTTTTCAAAAAGTGTTGCAGGGCCCGTTTAAATGAACATATTACCTTCAAATCAATTCTTCATTTATTAAAGATTGTTATGCCAGCTTATATGCTACAAGTAAAATAAATTGTAATATTTACATATTTGAAAGGTTATCACTTAAAGGGAGACGCTCATTGAAAAATATTTTTTATTTCTAGTCATAGACACTTAAAAATTTTGTTATTAATATAGTTTTTTGGAGATTTCAAATATGCAATCATTTTTTGTGTAGCTGCTATAGTTATTGAGTTATGCCATGCACAATAGCAAATAGTTACATGTTTTGCGGGTACTCTTTCATGTACTTAATTTTTAGTAAAACCATAGTCTCTGATGTTATTTGACTCTCGGTAGATTGTAAAATGCAAATATCTATCGAGATATGTCACTGAAATATTGGAACAAAGGAAAAAAAATTGCATAAAATGACTAATTATTTTAAATATACCTTGAAACAATAACCCAATATCTTCGCACAAGTAATTCTGGTAGGCATCGCAATTTCAAGTAGATATTTGCATTCTGCATGTGTTGAAGAATATGCCTGCCAAGTTTCGTTATTATACAATAAGTATAAGTGTCTAAAAGACTGCCCGGAAAATGTGAAATACCGTATTTACTCGCATAAACGGCGCACTCGCATAATAGGCGCACCCCTAGTTTGGTCGCGGAAAATTCGATTTTTTTAAAATCCGCACATAATAGGCGCACCCCGAACTTGGCCGTGATCAGAAACGATTCTACCCCCCAGCGGTACAGTTGGAACGCGGTCCCCGTACCCTGAAGAAAAAAAGAAGGCGAATCGACGAGCAAATAAAAAAATTCGAAGTGCAACGACCTAACCAACGTGTTCGTCGAAATAAAACTTGAAAAAAAAGCGTCCATGAGCGAAAAAAAAAACGGCTGTTCCATCAATTACTGATACCTCCCAAATCGCCGCGCTTTTTGGAGGTCACGTGTACAACGCCGGGGGCTCGATCGCCATCACCACCATCAGAGAAAAAGAAAGAAATGCCATTTTGCAAGCGGTGTGCGTATGTTGTGGTCGTGTATTCAACTTTGGTTCCACCATGGGGAAGTACGCGAGCTACACGGCTGGTTTTAAACTGAAGGCAGTGCAGTACGCGCTGGAGCACGGCAACCGGGCTGCAAGCAGGCATTTCGGCGTTGGAGAAACGAGTATTCGGTACTGGAGGGACCAAGAAGAAAAACTTAAGGCGACGAAGACACGACGGGCTTTCCGCGGTGCCAAGACCGGCAGGTATCCGAACGTCGAAGAGCAACTGGTCCGGCATATACGGGAGCTACGACAAGACGGCTGTGCTGTGTCGTTGGATATTGTGCAGACTGAGGCGCGCAGAATAACCCGAGCGCAGGGCATCGAAGCAAAAGAGTTCAAAGCCAGCTCCGGATGGACAACTCGTTTCATGCGGCGCCATGGCCTCGCACTGCGAAGGCGGACCACCTTGTGCCAGCGCTTGCCCACAGTATATGAGGACAAAGTGGTGGACTTCCACAGTTTTGTTATAAAGCTCCTACAGCAGAAAGACTTCATTTTGTCCCAGATCGGCAACGCTGATCAGACCCCTCTTTGCTTTGATATGCCGTGGAACACGACAGTGGAGGAGAAAGGTGCACGGAGCGTCATCGTCAGAACGTCTGGCGCTGATAAACAACGATGCACCGTAATGCTGGCGGTGAGAGCGGATGGGCGTAAGCTGCCGCCTTACGTTATTTTTAAATGTAAGACGCTCCCAAAGGCAAAATTCCCTCAAGGCATCTACGTCAGAGTCCAGGAAAAAGGCTGGATGAGCGCTGAAATCATGGTGGATTGGGTGAAAACAGTGTGGGGTCGGCGTCTGGGTGGTCTGTTGTTGCCGTCCATGCTTGTCCTGGACAGTTTTCGTGGGCACCTCGTAGACTGCGTACGAGATGAGCTAAAGGAACTGCGCACAGATTTGGCAGTGATTCCGGGCGGCCTCACATTGATACTGCAGCCTTTAAACGTGTCCTTGAATAAACCTTTCAAGGACAATGTTCGAAGGCTGTACACCACCTGGATGGCTGGAGGACAACATCAGCTGACTCCAGGTGGTAAGATTAAGAGGCCGCCTGTGGAAATGCTGTGCGCTTGGATCGTGGAAGCGTGGCAGGCGATCTCCGACGAAGTAGTCAGGAAAAGCTTCAAGAAGACGGGTATCTCGAACGCACTGGATGCGAGTGAGGATGACATGTTGTGGGGTGCGGATGATTCGGACACCAAAAACGAATCCCCGCTCGGCGAGGATGAATGTGTGATCTCCGACTCGGACTCCAAATAGGGAAAAGGAGGAACAGCTACGACTTTTGTGTAAATAAATTTTACGTGTGTGTGTGTGCAGTTGACGGCTCTCGCTTGTTCATTAAAAGGTACGGAGGTATGTTTGTTTTATGCTGAAGTAATTGGTAAACAATAAAGTCGCCTTTTACTTGACAAGTGTGCAGATTTAAAGCGCGAGAACCGAGTTGAAAAAATTTTCGAAAATTTTACCCCGCGTAATTGGCGCACCCCTAACTTCGAGCCGGATTTTCTGAAAAAAAAGTGCGCCTATTATGCGAGTAAATACGGTAGCCAAAAAATGAAAATGATAAAAACAAGTTTGAAAGTTTGCAAAGTTGACATTTATTAGGGAACCATTTTTTTGCATCAAATTGGGGCACAATGAAAAGCATCTTGCACTGAATGCTCGGAAGGCCGAGAATCGCACAGAATTGTCAAAGTTGGTCATGGCCTGCGCCTATAGCGCGTGCTGCCAGAACTGCCTTCAATGTTTACAGCAAAGCTATTACGTGAGCTGCCGCTGTCGAAACGAGCACTCGTTCCTTGGTCCCTGGCCGAAGTAGTATGTCTCGACGCGTGCGTGAATGAAAGTGTAGATTCAGGGCAATGGGTATTTTCACAGCACAGTTCAAGGAATGTCGAAAGCCCTTTGCGCTTTCCAGCTACCTCGGACGCCGAGTTCCCATTCGCGGCAGGTTGGGCATTGCGCACAGTCAGCGCATCGATTTCGCAAAGCAGCGTGTTGGCAGTAGCAGCACCGACTGGTCTGCGTTCACTCTCGAAGAATCTGCGTCTAATTTGGGATGCATTGACGAATTCTACGGCAGCGGCTATTTCACAACCACTGTCGCCGCGGGGTTCGGTGTACTTAGGCCTATCCGAAGTCGGGGCGTTGGTCAGCGGTGACATCAGCGTTCGCTGTCGCTTTGTGAAGCGCCTGATGCAGTTTCCCTCGATACTTGGGGCGAGTTCTGAACTTTCGATTATCTAGACTGCACTTCTCGGGGCTTGCCATGACGCAAAACTGGAGAGAAACACCAAAGAACTCGATTGCGACGTTCGAGGCTTTGCTCTTTTGCCGGAAGGATAGGAGAGGGAGGCGCACTGCCGACCAATGGCGGCCTCGCGCCGCTGGCCGCGATATTCAAAACGCGTAACATATGCATTGTTTTTCTTATTTTTGGTTCATTCTTCATGAAGATACGAGACAGACTACTAGTGGGTTGTGAAGAAGAAGGCCTTCGCCGCATGCGTGCACGATTGCAAATGGCGGCCAACGTGTCGTTTTCTCGACAGGACATCGTGAACTATGCCATTTTTTTTGGCGACTTTCGTGCATTTGTCACATCACCGCTCCCTACTAGGAAGCATTTTTAGATCATTTCTCGTGTGAATTTCAGCTTGATATTTTCAAAAGTAAAAGATAATAGTCCAGGGATGCCGATACAACCAGAAAAAAAGCAAAAATTTTCCGGAAAACCGCGACTTTTGGACTCGCGTCTCTCCTTAAATTCGCGAAAAGTCAAATCCTGCTACTACTCAAATTTGTAAAGTTGTTTTGACTTCCCTTGAATGAAAAAAAAGGCATTTGCATAGAGGCCTTATTTCATTAAAATATATATATATATATTGTGCTGGTTGGTTAGGTCATGATAAATATGCCCATTTTTTGTATATGTCATATGTAAAATTCAAATTCAATTTAAAATTATTCAACGAAGATCACTATTCACTTCTAAGCTGCTTCGAGCCTAAAATTCACCATTCGCACAAGCCTACCTGTGATGACCTCTCAAGTTCAGGTTATTATTAGTGTGAGCTCATCTAGTAGACCCTTGACAGACATCTTGAGCTCCTGAGTCCTGAGCTATAGTGTTGATTTTCAATCCATGCAACCTTTATACCACTCTCAATGATCTACACCTCCCCATAAATGCCATACTTTATGTCACAAAGTAAGACTTGTTTACTGCACGAAAGGCATCATAAGTGTGCAAGTGAGCAGAGTGATGCGTTTCCGCAACCAGCAGCTATAGTGCATCATCAGATTTGAACCTCTTTATAAGAGACATGCACTGGGCAGCAATTCTTGCCTTATATAAGCAGGATACCATGTATGCATTTCCTTATCAGCCCCAATTTCAATGTAGGCACACTGGGGCTTTTTATACCCCATTGCATGCTACATCAGGCTTCAGCTGTATAAAGCATGTGTCCTATACTTACAGATGGGCAAAAGTAACATTTGATTTGATGTTAACTTGCGCATGCAAATTGTAGTTAGAATATATGAAATACATCCCCCACGAAAACTGTTGCATACTAATACAGCTGCTCTGTAAAGGGGCTGATTTAGGCCTCTGTTGTGTAGCTTTTGTAGTTGCCTGCTATATTTAAAAAACAAAGAGCTGTGATCGTCCAACAAATTCATTTGTACACTTTTGGATGTGTTCCGTTTTTTTACTGTCCACTCAGGGAAAAGGCGGATTCGGGTGCACACATTGTGCCTTCCGGTGACTGCAATGCTGCAAGACATCCTTGGATCTGTAGATCAGGAGGCAGTTAAGGGCATGCTCTGTAAAATGGGTGAGTGAACCTTTCTTTCTATGTCTTCACGACATCGTAAGCCATGTGCAGTCATGGTGGGCTCAGCTCTGGCTATTTAATTCTTTCAATGCTGTAATTTAAATATTTTATTAGTAGTTTTTTGTATACCATATTTACTCGCGTAATGAACCCACCCCTCATCTTGGTCCTCGTTTAAAAACAAGTTTATTTAATGTATCTGTGCATATTATTTTGGTGTGATGGCCAGTGTCAGTGACAATCGAAACAATATTAAATCACCTCATCATATCACAAAATAAGAACACAATCAAAGTAAAAGATTGAAGAGGACGTTGATCAAAATTTAAAAGTTTCGCCTTTTGCAGTAGAGCACCATCTGTCAAACGCAGAAGAAACCTTCACCTTATACCACCACACAAGCACAGCAGCCCGAAAACGAAGCAAAAAATTGGCCCCATATCTGCATGTTTCACTGCAAATGTCGTCGAAAGACGATAGTCTTGTGTCTGGAGAGAGTGAACAAAATTTGATGTCCTGCGTGAGAAAATAGGTGAATTGCATTCTGGAGGTGCTGCGCGCAGCGATCCGTGCACCGAAGGCAAACGAGCGCATCGAGGCATGTAAAACATGAGCTCTATCTGGCAGTTATTTTTGAAAGCGAAGGAAGGCGTGCACGCCTGTTTCGGAGGCGATAAGGTGTAGAATGCAAAGCAACGGGCAGGTGCCACCACCGGGTCATCTTAGAAAAGCGTTGGAAACAGTTGCCTTTTTGTGCATAGGATTGCATTGTCAGCGCAGTGTGATAAATGCTACGATACTTAGAATTACTCATGTATGCCTTCTCTAGTATAAAGGCTCACATACAGAATATTGAAGTGTTGTTATTGTGCCTCTGATATGCGTAATAATTGATTTTTAATTGACAATTGCTCAAGTATGGTCTCGGAAACTTGTGCAACATTGGTGTGCGCTGCATATGCGTTGGATTGTAGCCGTTTGGGTTAACGTTTCGGTGGACAAACAGACAAATGTACAGACAGGCAGACCAAAATTTTTGCGTCGGAGTACTGCAATAAAGACTATCGTCTTTAAAAACAAAGCGCCACCGGTGCACTGGCTCACTGCGTGGTGCATTGCAGGTACACTGCGCGGACGACGCGACGTGCACCCGCAACGTGTGTGCGCCGCCATACGACGCTGCGTTTTCGTTGACAATTTTTGAGTATGTTACCAACATAGCTTCATTTACATTTAATCTTACAGTTGGTCGAGCCTACGCCGGAGCATGGGAACGAAACGGTTGGATATAACTTTTAGTGTCGATCTGTGCACGTTGGCCTCTACAAGTGCTATAAATGAATGCATGGTTCTTGAAGAAAGGAAAAAGGCACAGTGCCTTTTTCCCCCACAAGGCACGTGGTACAGTGCCTTGTAGAGGATGGGAGAAGGAAATAAAAGAATAGTTGTAAAATAAAAAACGAAGGAGCACTTGCCACATAGGAGCGACAGAAAGAAGAGATATTAAAGATGGGGGACACGGTCGAAGGAGTCCGATGACGGGGCACTGCTCAGTGAGAGCAACTTGACGGCAGGAAACAGCAGACGGTGGGCTGATCAGTGAGAGCTATGCTGGCGTCTGGGATAGCGGGCGACACAATCATTCAGCACGGAATTCAGTAAGCGAGTCTCTGTGCTATCCGCCGACAGCCGCACTGCATGTGCCGTGACCCTGCTGCACGCAATTAGAGAGTGAATGAGCGTCACCGATCTTCTCATTCACTCTCCACTTGCGTGTCGCAGGTGTCCCGGCACGTGCGGCGTGGCTGTGCAGATAGCGCATGTACTGCTTTGGGCTACAAAAAAAGGTACGCCGCGCATTTCGCGGGCCAAAACAAGGAAAGTTTTCCTTTGTGGAGAACGAAGTTTTTGAATAGAGGCTCCATAGTGCTGCCACTGAATTGAAAGCCAGCAGCGGTGGGACAGTGACTTTTTTAATATGGTCCTGTGAATTTTTTGTTGTTATAACCCGTTTAACTTTCTTTCTTCCGCATAATGAACCCTCCTGAATTAGTGTCAACTTTTTTTAAAAAAAGGTGGGTTCATTACGGTAGTGAGTACGTTATGTCGGAAAAAAAGCTTTTTCCAGTTTTAGAGGGACTCAAGCACGGATTGTAGCGTACCGAATCATGCATCATGAAGTTCTTCTTCCACAAAAAAAAAGAAATTAGTTGTAGAGCAGCAAAAATATTCTGGAATGCATAAAAGTTAGAAAAGTAAGAAATTTTTTATTGACAACTGATGAACAGCAGGATAAACAGCACTATACTGGCAAAAACATTCAGAACGACAAAAATTCAAATTAAACGTACTGAAGACAAACACCCCAGGAACAGTGTATTAAAAAAATGTTCTACACTATGTTTTTATCGACATAGACAAGAAAAGACCTGAAGCAAGGTGCTGCTCATGGCATGTGGGGAAGCATTTTCTTGTTTTTCATGAAACACAGTCATGCACTTTTTACAAAATTTTTGTTTTTTCATGTGAAGAGCCTGCTGGTGTTCCAATTTGGATCGATACTCGTGATGTGAACATCACCTACATAATTAAAATGTTTAATGAACTTCACAAGTTTGTCTGGCATCGCCTGTTTCTACAAGCAACCCCTGTCCGCATAAGTTGTCGTTGAAAAGTTTGCATTCAGTCACATTAGTTTGTATTTTTGTAAATACTATTTAAATAAAAACTAAATTGCATGCAGTCTAAATCGTCTCGCGACACTTCGTAATGTGCGGCTGCTATGTGCTCTGGCGGCCTTCTTGTCTTCGGGAGAAGCTCTGCAGTGGGCGCCTGCCCATCATGCCCCAGTGGCATGCGAACCTTGCACCTAACCAGAATAGCTCCAAGATTGTGCAGAAAGATCAGCAGTCAGTAGCTACGCACATGTGGCGAAGTCGTTTGCTTGACGCTGTAAACGGAACGAACCCCTGAACGGCTGTGGATGTCCCAGGCGAATGTAAAACATTGTCACGATTTGAGCAGGAGGCTGAAGGGCTGTCATCTTCGAACTCAAACTTGACATCACTCAGATGACATGTGGTTCCAAGATGGTTTCAAGCAGCGCGTGTTTCTCGTTGCAAATTTGCACATTCACACGAGCATCATGTTGATGCCATAGGAGGGACTAGTCACAGTAGATTCAGCCCTGTGTCGGATGTAAAAACAGCAGCAAAGCTGAAGCTGCTGGAAACTGGCGGAAAAGGCCACTTCCCGACAATATACATGTGATGAACCTTTGGAAATACCGAATTTACTTGCGTAATCCTCGCACTCGCATAATTCTCGCACCCCCCACATCACCCAACAAAACTAGAACTTTTTTCCTCGAGTATAATTATCGCACCCCCGAAAACTGCCGCAATAATGTCTTCTGCTCGTTCCAATCACTCATGATGATAGCGTGCGCCATCTCTTAAGCATCAAGTGTACTATTATTGCATGGAGATTCAATCCAAGCCAAGCCAAAGTCGCAAGTGCGCATTGCGGCGTGTTTTGTATGTTGTGTCGGTAATCTTGTCACGTTATGGGGCTATACTGAAGCTACAAGGCTGCATTCAAGTTGAAAGTGATAGATCATGCACCAAACAACGGCAACAGGGCCGCTAGTAGGCCCTCCGGAGTCTACGAGTTTTGTGTTCGCTACTGGTGACGGCAGCACAAAGCCACCAAGACGCGTGGGGCCTGCCGTGTGCCTAATACCCGAGATTGATGGTAAACTTTATTTCATCAAAAGGAAACTCCAGACAATTCTGTTAAATAGCCATCAGCAGCCCATTACTAACGTCCTACGCTTACTTTTTGAGGGCTCCTGTTGATCAAAGAACGCTACTGCTACGCCCGCAACGCCCACAAGCTTTGCGTATAATATAATAATTCTCGACTATTTGCTTCCACTTTTTGTGTCTCAAATAAATCTTGCCTTGTGTTGAACCTGTGCTTTTATTGTTGAGGTAAGTTTTAGTTAGTACTTCCCAAAGCTTGCTGTTAGTTGCTGGTGTGAGAATCCCGATTTGCGGCCACTTAGTTTGATTTTTTGCTGTGTACGTGTTCGTGGGAAATTTTCCCCGCGTAATTCTCGCACCTCCCAACTTTGCATCGGTTTTCCGCGAAAAAAAAGTGCGAGGATTATGCGAGTAAATACGGTAATGTTTCTTCCCCCACACCAAAGTACAGCTCTCTAGTGCATAGGTGGCAGAAATTTCAGGCAATTAGTACAGCTCAACACTGTCAGATTGCGAAACCAAAATTGTAGTTTCATATTTTGACTTGCAAAGGTTCTTTAATTACAGAGCTATGTTACTGCGACATAACCACGAGCGGCACGTATTTCTCTCAAGCTCATCAGCCTAGCTCACTTTCCCAACAACACGCACACATTGGTTCTTTCAGTGTCCTTCAAAAATCACTATGTTGCCAAAACAGCCAAATTCAAACTTATTTTGAAAATTCAGTGGCTCGACTAACTACAGTGTAACCCCGACTATAAGACTTTCAGAGGACCACTCAAAACTGCCTTATAATGCCGGCATCGTATAATCATAACTCTATAATGCGTGGTCGCAGTCACACTCAGCCTAGCCCAAAAAACGGGTACAGACCACCTGAATAAGCCTATGGCACGACCTTGTGCCTCTGCACGGAAGGTAGATTTAATTATCCTTGCCACTGGCAGCTAATGACAGCATTACATAATTGGGGGAGGTGTGAGCGAATCTTCATTCTCAACTTCAAAGAAATTTAATCCAACGCGCGCATTTCTACCGATAAATATGGGTCTGAAAATTGCCTGTGCATGAAAACAAAACTGAAACCGCATTGGCAACAGCTACCTGTCTAATGAGTCAGACACAGTGTCATCGCTATCACATAATGGCAACGAACCACGAGCTGCGCCACTGCTGCGCTGCACTCATGGGCTTTTCGTGCTCGGGAGCATGCAGAAAGTAAGGGGCATCTGC